GCGCTACCTATCGAATAATCACGTGTAACCTGACGGTGTGTCTTGGCTCGTGTCGCTGAAAAGAAAAGTTGAAAATCATCACGAGGTCGATAAATAAATGGACAAGAGGTGTCCATCCAGACTTTGTCGGTCTGCCTGTACAAATTCATCTTCTGAGCGAAATTGAGACGAAAGTGCACTTTTGTGTCCTTAGCAAGGCAAAAAGTGCGACATACAGGATCCGATAGAAGACTATATATTTTTAGCAAAACAAAAGACAATCAAGCTGTTTCGTAGAAATACGAATAACTGGCGGTATTTTTGTAACGAAGCTAGCCCAAACGAGCAATGTCCACAAAGGTCGCATGCATGGCAGCCAAGTCTTGCCCAAGCTGGTTTGAGAAAGCATGGTCGTCCATTCCTGTGGGCATTGGCAGTCGGCTGTTTGTGTCTCTCGAGCGCTGTGACCAGATCGCGCTGATGCTTTCTAGTCGAACAATCTGGCATGACGCCCAAGCATCCGAGGTCAACAATCGACGACAACCAACTCACACCAATTCCAACATAGATGTGGGAGCTTGTGGGGACGGAGCTGTTCCATCTCTCGCGGGGTCGACATGGATCGTGGCGCACTGAATGCTGGGCCAAGTACGATGCGTTGTCTGCGGCCACGGCGGTCTGCACGTACGTACTCGGTCAAAACGCGTTTAGCCTCGGGTACATCAACCGAGACATCAAGGAGCGTATTCAGTCGCAGCTACTCGCGATGGTGCAGCTCACAGCAAATGTTTGCGACATGGTGACGCACGACGAGCTCGGGCGCCACCACGTCATCAAGGTCCTCCTGCGGCTTCTGAGCTCCAACGTCATGGGCATTTGTGACGTCGCATGCACGGCGTTGGGCAACTGCGTTGCTCAGCGTCCGTCGTCGTCCAACCAATCCGAGGTGCCATCGCCTTTTGTGGCCGTGATCGACCAATTGCGGGGTCCATTCAATCACCCAAACCCAATTGAAATAAGTATTCTTGACCGTAGGTGACCGCGTGCTAAAGGAGCTTCTCCTCTCACCACGCGTTGCTGAGTGCGGACCCGGGCCCACCAAGCATGCCTCGCGCGCCCTTGTTAACATGCTCTTCCCGAACGCGAGCATTGTGTGCCTCAACATTGACGTCTGGGAAGGCTACATCGTCGCCAAGCAGGCGAACGAGCGCCTCGACGACACTCTTGCGATGCCCATCCATGACGCGTGGTGCATCTCGTACCGTCTCGGCAGTGGGCGGCCGTACATGGAAGGCTCGATGAAGCTCTCGACATGCATGCAATTTGGCGCCGGCGTGTCAAACAAGGGCGAGTCCTTTCGTGTCGACGGAGCTCGGCATGAGCGCAACGGGGTACACAACTGGACCTTTGAGACCACGTTTCACAACGACGGCCGGCCGTACGGCCCCTTACCGATCTCACACATGGCGTTCTGGTCGTCGCAGCACACGGATGTCATGTGGGGCGTCTGGGAAGTCGGCGCGTCGCACCAGCAGCACAAGCTTGGCACAGGCGGCGTCTTCTTCATGCACGCCACCGACAAATCGTTCTAGTATCAATACATCAAGGTCCAGCTTTCGAAAAAACCCTTACTGGAAAGAGTATCGGTGCAATGCCCTACTGTATGTTGTAAAGGAATTGCACTTGATCGACCTGTGAAATCGGATATTTCTCACGCAATCTTGGACCCGCAGCTTGGACCCGCGGTTCCCGATTCCATACAAACCTCTCAAAATAGATATAAATACATTATCCCGAGGATCTTCCAGCAGGATGCACCAGCAGCAGCCAGCGGCCGGCGCCGAGAAGGACACGCCGCCCGCGCCCGTCGGCCTACCGCCGACGCACGTCCGCCCACCGACGATCGTCACGGGGCATAGCGTCACGTTTGACGACGCGGCGCCGACGCCGGCGGAAGCGACGACCGAGAAGCGCAACCAGTCCAAGTACGACTTTGTCAAGGTCCGCGTGTGGGTCGAGGACCACTTTTACGTGCTTTCGCGCTACTTGGTCTGCCGCGCGCTCGTCTCGACCAAGATCAACTCGCGCGACGCCGTCACCATCTCGCTCGAGCTCAAAAAGGTCGTCACGCCTTCGTTCGATAAGCTCATAGCCGCGGTAGACGCTTGTGGACCTGGGCCTCGCCGACATCAAGCAAGAGCAGTTTGAAAACTTCTTGTACAAGACGATGCTTGTGTACGGCTACGGCGAGTCGCACGTCGAGTGCTACCGCATGATGAGCACGTACGTCGTCGCTACACCTGCACGATCAACGATCCGGGACTCTAGGTTCCACCGAACGCGCACGCCGCTGCTCATCATCTTGGCCGGCACGTCGTGCATGGGCAAGTCGACGCTCGCGACCAAGGTACGTACGCCATGCGAAGCTCTATCATCGCTTCTGCGAATAGCTTGCGGACCGCATGAATCTCTCGAGCGTGCTCCAGACCGACCTCATTTTCGAGCTCATGTGCAACTTTTCGGGGTACTCTTTTCATATTCACTTGAGTCGAGGAGCATGGCTTGAGCGTAGGCGCTCGGAAACCTCGTTCTCGGATACGGTGTTTGCGTCCGAAGCCGACTTGCTGCAGCAGTATGCGGCCGACTGCGACATTGTGCGCAAGGGCGTGACCAGTGACATTGACAAGTGCCTCAAGGAAGGCAAGTCGCTCATCATCGAGGGGCTGCACGTCGACCCGCGTCTGTACGAAAAAGAGGTCGCCAACCTCGCGTCCGGCGGCATCGTGGTGCCGTTCCTCCTCACGCTCGACCCAAGCGACCACAAGGCGTTCATTGAAGCGTCGCCCGACCCGCGCTACAAGCTCGAGAAAGCCGCCAACTGCTTCAAGAACCTCCAAGTCGTCCAGCGCGCTCTGCTCGACCACAAAGGGTCGTTCACGCAGGTGCACGTCAACACGCACTCGTTCAAGAGCACGCTCGACGAGCTCCACGACATTGTGCTCCAGCGGATCGAAGAGGCGTACCGCCATCGTGGTACGTTGACGTGAGTTATACCGTGTCCAGCCCGCAAAGAGAAAAACGAGTTAATATTGGGGGGCTTAAAACATGTCGAACGGGTTGGTCGTTGCATGCACGGCCGCCCTAGTACTTGCATGAATTCGCGTGCAGAAAGCAAAGAAGAAACGTACGGATGCGGGACGCCGTACGCGTGCTGCGGCGGGCGTTGTTGGGACGGGAACGTTTGGTTGGACGCGCCATACTGCATAGAAGATGGGTTCGAGTCAAAGTGCGTCGATGAATGTGTCGTCGGCGTCGTCTTGATGCCAATGTCAAGCGAAGCAAATGGGTCCATGACCGCGCGCACGTCGGCCTTGGGGTGGCTTCCGTACGGCTTGCCCGGGTGAAGGGGTACGTGATCGAACGGCGTCGCAGACGGATAGCTGGTCGTGCTCGCGCCCGAGTGGTACAGCGTCGAGTTGGTCTTCACCGGCGACGCGTGGGGTTGGTGGTGGGGATGTTTGTTGGCCGGTGGCGGGTGGCCCCACAAGTCGACAGGCGCGGCGACCGGCTTGACCACCGGCGCCGGCACCGCGTCAAAAAGAGAGTCGAACGCGTTGAACGGATCGACCGGCGTCGGCGCGAACGCATCAGACACAGGAGTGCTGTGACGCGGCGGCGTCGGTGCAAAAGGATCCGCGACAGTGGTCTGGCGCGGCGGCGTGAAAGGGGCGCTCAATGACGTGGGCGCCGGCGACGAAAACATGTCCCGCGCAGGCTGCGGCGAAGAGAACCCAGCAAATGGGTCTTGTGTCGACGCTGTCGGCGCGGCAAATGCTGCAAATGGATCGGCCGTCTGGGGCGCGTCGTCAAAGGCACCGAACGGGTTCTGGGCGCCAAAGGGGTTGGGTGTCGGCGATGAGAACGGTGGGAACGACGACGGGCTTGCAACAGCGGGCGGCGGCGTGGCTTTGACCGACGGCATGCCTAATGACCGACATATGAAACATTTGCGACGGGCATGCAGCAATGTGCTGCGCCACTTACGGTCGCTCAATGGAATCGTGTCGAAGAATGACGACGATGCGGTCGTATTTTCGCGGACGGGCGACGCGAAAAAGTCGACTTCGACCGGTGCCGCCTTGCTCAGGGATGAAAAGTCGGCGTCAAAGCCGCTGGATGTCGATGCAAATGGCGAGAAATCGGCATCCGACGCAGGGACAGAGGCAAACTGGCTGAAATCGGCAAAGTCATTGGCCGGCGACGCGGGCGTCGTGTGGCTGCTCGTCGTGCTACCAAAGCTCGAGAAATCTCCAAACGCGACGCTCGTTTGCTGGTTCGCCGTAGGCGGTGGCAGGTGAAACGGGTTAAAGTCCGTCGTCACCACGGGCGTCGGTGCGGGCTTCTTGGCAGCGATGGGCTTGGGCGCCTCCTTCTTGGGCTCTTCATGCACCCAGCTAGCCCGATACATGAGCGACAAACTCCTTTCAAGTAGCGTACCGTCGGTCAATGTACGTGTCACGAATAAAATTGCGGATGCGGTCGCGCGCGTTGAGGTTCGAGCTCGGTTGCGTGTTGACGTCGAAGCGCGCGAGCCAGTACTTGCGCGCCGCCTAGACAATGGGCTTGACGCCATGCTATTTAGCGCATTGGCGTACGTCGTTGCCGCCGTGCTTGACAATGTTGGTGACCTCCGTGTCGGTGAACGACGACATGGAGATGGATTTGATCCGGTGCGAAAATTCGCGGCTACAAGGGTGCTAAGCAGGGCCTTCATGGTCGCACGTACTGGAGGCCGCTGCACGCGGTGCAGACGAACGTGTTGAAGTCGAGGCAGACGTATTGCGGGCCCTACGCGTCGCATGAGCATTAGCCGCAGTGGCCGCATGGACACCATCTCGTTGCAGTCAAAGCATCGGCGGTTGCTTTGGGACGACTTTTGGAAGTCGCGGATGGCCTTGATGTGCTTCTCGTCGAGGGTCTTGGCGTCCGCTGGCATCGCTTCCTTCCGTCGGCCGCTCCTCGGTTGCCACTTGGCAATTTAAAAACTTGATAGCGCTTGCAACCCAAACGCCCAATCCGATTATTCCTTCGACGGTATTTTTATCATCTTTGCATACAAAGTTCCATATAATTGGCTGGTTTGCAAAAGAAATGGCGACCCCGCGCCGTATTTTTATCCCGCGCATGCGTTCTCGGAGGTTCTCGGCAGAGAAACCCCTGCATAGTCAACTCTAGAGTAGCGCCACCATCGTGATCGAGGACGACCGACCTCGAACAATAAGTACCTAGTCGTTCACACGCAAAGAGTGAGAGCATCCCACGTCAGCGCCGTGTGCTGTTGTGGCAGCTGGTACAGTCGAAACCAATCCGCCTATCGCCCTCCGCATTTACCCACCCAAGCTAGAGCTGTCGTCGCACCGCAGTACTAGTACCATGGTATCGAGCTTATAGGGCCCCTTGGCATGCAGGTGCTGCGAGGGCAAGCGCAGATGTTAGGTTCGACATTGGCTGACTGTCATAGTGTGTTTAAATGAGCTGGTACAGCCAGACACGGTCATGTAGGGCGTCGGTGGCGCGAGGTTGGCGACGATGCTGTTGGCGCGACGATCGACAATGTATTCAAATGGCAACCGATAGGAAGGCGTTGACCTTCAAGCCTTTGCCAGAACGGTGGCGAGTCCAGGCACGTGTGCTGTGCTGTGCCATACTACCTGACAACTACAACCAAAGCGATGACCTGAGGATCAATACCTCGATACGATCCGACGAGACCACCTGGAAACCAGCGCTTTGGAGCTGAACGTTCATGCGAATAAGTCCTATCTTTTGACGCAACGTCCTTGGCACGGGACCTGGCGCGTTTGTGGCGCACTGGGGACGTGGCAATCTTGTGGGCACGCAGTGTCGCGATCTTTCGACGCCCAAAGATTTCAACCAATCACATCCGAGCATCTCGAATGGACCAATGGCAAGGCGGGAATTGGCGCGCACCAATCGGCGATCGATCCGTTTAAGTGCGTGGTCGCATTTTACCCATCGCCCATATCTCGGAAATCCATCGCGGCCACCAACTAAGCTCATCATGCGCTGCTGCCAAATCGTCATGGGCCCAGCGGGCACGGGCAAGGTACCTCGCTGCACATGCGCCGCCACAACCTCATTGTCTCTAGTCGACCTACTGCAAGAACATGCACGAGCACTGCGCCACGACCGGGCGCATGACGTACGTCGTGAACCTCGACCCGGCGGCCGAGACCTTTGACTACCCCGTGGCTTTTGGTACGGCGCAAGCGTACCGTCGATGAGAAGCTCAATTGAGGCATTGTAGATATTCGCGACCTGATTTCGCTCGAGGACGTCATGGAAGAGCTTGGCTACGGCCCCAACGGCGGCCTCGTCTACTGCATGGAGTGCGTCATGCAAGCGAACCCGACTCAAATGGCTCATGCGAACCATGTGTAGGTACTTGATCCAGAACCTCGACTGGTTGCAGGACCTTCTCGTCGAGTACAGCGACGACGACTACTTTATCTTCGACTGCCCTGGTACGATCCCATGTGATCTAGTAGTACATCTTGTTCTACCTGGTTTTCGTGTAGGCCAAATCGAGCTCTACTCGCATCTCCCGGTGATGAAGTCGCTCTGCGCGGCCTTGGGCGACTGGGGCTTTTCGATCTGCGGCGTCTACCTTGTACGTGCAACGAGTATATGGTCGAGCACCTACTGAGGTCGATTCTAGATCGACTCGCTCTTCATTTCGGACCCGAGCAAGTTCATCTCGGGCGTCCTTTGCTCGCTCTCGGCCATGGTGCAGCTCGAGTTGCCCCACGTCAACGTACGTAGCATCGACGACCAACATATCTCGACTCACAAATCCTTAGGTGTTGACCAAGTGCGACTTGGCCGACGAGCTCGAAGTTGAAAAGTACCTCGACCCGTCCTCAGGCTACCTTCTCGAGAGCTTGACGCAAGCGACGAACGACAAGTGGCAGCCACTGAGCCGCGCCGTGTGCAACGTGGTGCGTTCTCGCCTCTACCATGCCATGCATGACTGGCATGGCTAGATCAACGACTATAGCATGGTCGCTTTTGTGCCCATGAACATTACGGACGAAGGCAGCATGGACGTCGTCTTGCAGCACATCGACCACGCGATCAACTATGGCGAAGACATGGAGCCCAAGGTCCGTCTCTTGCGCGTCTTTGTCGAGGCTCACATGCGCTGTAGGAACCCAAGGACGATTTCGGCGACGACGAATAAATTGCCAGAGGTTTTTTTCCTTGAATATATATTATATTGCAGAGGTCTTTCATATTTGATTTGATTTCCGGCGGGATGAGCGAGAGAGCAGCGTGGGAGACCGAGCGCGCCGAGCTGCAGCAGCAGGTCCGCGTGCACAAGACCGAGGCCAGCGTCCTCGCCAAGCGCTTCCGCCTCCTTCAGCAGACGCTCCAGGAGCAGCAGGTCGTGCTCGAGAAGTACCAGCGGGCGCTGCGCCGCCTCCAGAAGGCCAAGAAGACGCCGACGACGGAAACGACCGTCCTGAAGCCGGCCAAGGCGACGATGGCAGCCAAACCGACCGAGACGACAATGACCAAGCGAACCGGGCCTAGCGCGCCACGCGTAGCCGAGACGAAGATCCCCAAGACCCTCCGCGCCCAGACGTTTGCCGCGATCCGGCAAGCCGCGTCTCCAGGCCGCGACGTTCCCTTCAAGCGCAAGCGTACCCGCGATGAAGACGACTTGACAATGCTACCTCAACGTGCAAGGCCTTCAGCCAATATCTCCACATCCTCGAGCCATGGGCCGGGCAAAGCTGCTCCGGTACCGTCACCATTCGCGGGACCGAGTACCGTGGCCGTGGCACGCCCTGCGTACGAGAACGTGCAACGTCCGGAAAACCGATCGGCGACGACCGCCACCAAGCCGTATGGGTACATCGAGGTCGTCCGGAAGCGCGACGAGCGGGCGGCGCTGCCCGGGCACGCCTGCTTGCAGTGTACCGAGTACTTTGATGCGCTCGGCGAAGGCTTTGAGGGCCAGCGCGACCTCTGCTCCCGGCACCGCGCGCGCTTTGAACCCTACTCGACGCCCGAGGACTTTTGGCGCCTTACGTTTCCAGACTCAATGTAATCGCATTACTCAATAGGTAAGCAGGTGGCAGTAGCTACCGCAGACCGTGCAGTGCAGCGGGTCGGCGCCCGAATGCGTCGAGTAGAACGTCGGTGACGTCTCGACGTTGGCAAAGCTGCCGCACAAGGTGCATTTCCACACGGACGCGGTCGCGACGAGTCGGAAGCTCAGAAAACTGCGCTCGGCGGCATGGCCCTTGGCGCACACCGGCTCCAAGATCGACGCAGTGAGCGGCACAGGTCCCGCACACAACTCGCAGGCTTCGCGGACAGGCAGCTCGCCCGCTCCGGTGTCCAGACGTGCCACGTCGGCCGCCGTGCCGTACGCAGAGTAGAGTTGCCGCAGAGCCGTGCGTGTGTTGGGCTTGAGCGCAAAAGAGACAGGCGCGGTATCCATTTTGCGCGTCGAGAGATGCCAGAGGTAGTCGGCCATGAGAAGGGCCGCGACGTGCGTGGTTGGGTTGAGCGACGCAGCTGTCGACGCCGCGAGCACCTGTCGTTCGGCCACGTGCGCCAGAATCGCAGGCAATACCCACGCCGGGCACTCTTTGGTCGACGGTGGCACCGTGCTCCAGATCTGGTACGCGGCTTGCAGAAAGGTTGGGGCCGCCCACGCGGCACTGTGGTCGAGCTGAATGTACTGCGACGCGAGCGCGTCGGCGACCGGACGATACATGGGCCGGACGCCGCTCGTGTCAGCGTGAAGCGACCGCAGCTCGGATTCCTTGGCCGTGCACGCGACCAAGTCGTGGTAGCAGAGCGCGAGCACGTCAAAGAGCGAGTCGAGGCGCGCCGGCGTTGCAGCGAGCGCAACCCGCAGCGTCTCGGCCAGCGTCGGCGCGTCCTTGGCGAGCGGCGCCGCAAAGTGCTCGAGGCCGCCGCTCACGCGACTGTACGTCGTGTCCTACAATCCACATGAGGTTTTTCGGTCTGCGACCAACGCTACCGCTTGGGTCGTTCGGCACGGGCGCGCGGCCGGCGGCACAATGTACGTGCACGAGATTTGGGCGTCGTTGGGCGAGATGCTCAGGCCGTACACAGGGTACCCTTTGGTCGGAAGGTTCCTATGCACGAAGCATTGTAGCCAGACAGGTAGGAAAACATGCGGCGTACGGAGCGACGGCCGGGGAACCATCGGCATGCCAAGCCTTGACAGCGCCGTCAGTTGCGCACGAGAAGAGCGTGTTGTCGCAGCCTTGTACGGCGATGACCGAGATGGTCCCGTTGTGGGCCGGCCACACGATGGGTACTTGGTCGTTGTCGCCATCTATGGCCCACGCAGAAAGCATACCACCGAAAGCGCCAAATACATGGTTTGCGCCAACAGCGATACTCGCCATTGGTGTAAGCCGCGGCGCTGTCCAGATGCGACGAAGCGACCCGTCGGCCACCGCTATGGCCAAGATCTTGCTGCTGGCAGTGCCAACGTATAGCGTCTCGCAATCGGTGGACCACGAAGCGCTCGTCGACCAGCCATGAGCGCCCGTATCCACCTCGACCCGGGGCGTCTTCTCGAGGTAGCCGGACCGGAGGAGATCAAAGTGCCAGATCGTTGTGAGCCGGCGACCGCAGATTGCAAGGAGCGACGTCGACGACCATGCCAGACACGTTGTTGCCATAAAGTCGCACCGCTCTGCGTACGAGAGGTCGGCTTTGCGCCGCTTAAGGGCGCGTGGCAGCGGCACGAGAATGGAAGGATCGTCGGGCAGCGGGCCGTAGGAGGGCATGACTTTGGCCATGTGCGCGGCCACTATGTCCGAGAGCACGGCGCAGCATTCCCAGTTCAAGTTTAACGACGATGGAAAGTGCAGCAAGATGCGATTGGCCGTCGTCAAGGCCAGAAGGGCACATGCTGCATTGGGCGCCGAGCCTACCCACGAAAAGTGAGACAAATTGCGTGGATTCGAGCTTTGTACCGCGCGGGCCCCACGACGCTTGGAGGAAGACGTCAACTTCGGGCTTGGCCATCGAAAGCTCGCGTGGGTTGGCGCTCGTGACAGCGTCGAACGAGTTCATGATGCGGTACATGACGGTGCCCGGCGCCTCGACGGCAGTGGGCGTCGCCTCTGAAAACACAGGCGGCGGCAGTGGATACCGCGTGTTCGATAGCCGCTTGGCGAGCGCAATGTTGGTCCGCGAGACAAACGGCGGCTGCAGCAGGTAGCGGCAGAGGTCCTTGTTGACAAAGGTCGAGATCATAATACCGTCGTGGACAACGACCGCGAGCTTGCCATCCATGGACCAGTACACGTTGTTGGGCTGAAGAGGCGCGCCCGAGAGATGCTCTGAGGCGACGCAGTCCGGCGTCGGCGTGAAGACGCCGGACGTGTTGCTGTTGCCGGCGCCCTCGAACGCGTCCGCGGTCTCGGTGGCCATCGTATCGGTGAAAGTTCCAACCCAGAATGCACCGGTGCCATTGGCTGTAAATCCTACCGATTTGACAGCTTGGATTGGCCAATTACTCTAAATTTTCACCAATCAAATGCAACGGTTCATGCACTGCCCGCCACACCGCCACACTGCCCGCACGGCAGCAGCCATGACCGTGATGGGAGCCCAGTGCGCTACGAAGTCGCCCACTACGCTGGACGCTCGACAAATGCTGTATCCAATACACTGGATGAAGAAAGGCCTGCGAGTACAGACCCGGCGAAACGGCGAAAAGCCTTGCAGAGCGTGTATTCAAGCATACACGCTCGTAGCACTTGGCGGCTCGTCCAGTCGATATCCTCCACGACACGCCCTCGCAGTGACGCCGCCGATGCGAGGCCATCGACAACATCGCCGCGCCGTAACGGTGTTGGCGCCAACGCTCGATCGTACCGGAATTGCGCGCCGTTTGATTGGTTGCTCGTATTTGGCTGGTCCAATCCAAAAGGCCATTCGACACCTTGGTTGGCTGGGAGAATCATCATGGCGCCGGTGCCAAACCCGCGCAAGCCGACGGCCAAGATCCCGGCGGCGACGAAGCTTGAGATCCTCGAGCGTCACAGCAGCGGCGAGCGCGTGCGTGATCTCGCTCTCGAGTACGGCGTGCACCACACATCAATCGTCTCGTGGGCGGCGCGCATCGACAAGATCCGAGCCGTCGCCGCCCGCGGGCCGGCTGCCAAGACAGCTTTTGTGCCCATCACGATCGCCACCAAGGTCGACGCCATTGCGCGCGTACAGCGTGGCGAGCGCATCCTCACCGTGGCGCAATCGATCAGCGCAGCCTCGAGCGCCGTCAAGTCGTGGGTCCGCGACGCGCCCCGGATCCGTGCTGTCGCCACGGCCGCCGGCCTCGACGTAGCGCAGTCCCAGCCAAGCAATAATGCGGTCGCGCCCATGCGTCCGATGAAGCGCGGCCGCGACGAGGCCGAGACAAAGGCGGACCCGCACGGCCGGTCGCTGGCCTCTTTCTACAACGATGGCCACGAGGCGTCTGCGATGAACGACACCGAAGCCAACGTCAAGTTCTCGTACAGCGCGCTGTCTGCGCCCTTGTCGCCCGCGTGGGACTCGTCGCCGCCCTCGACGCTGCAGCGATCCCAGCGAACTACTGGCTCCAACGACCTCATGACGGCATACAACGACCACACGTTTGACGAAGCCGGCATCAAATCGGACTGCTTCTTGGACTCGCGCGTGCTGGACGAGGCTCTCGATGCTGTGGACGACGACGACGACGACGAGAAGGCGACGATCGGCGCCCACTCGCACGCGCGCCGGCACCACTGGCTCGCGTACAAGGCCGCGCAGCGTCGGTGCGACTGCCCGCGCTGTGTCTATGCGCGCTTCGACCCGCACTGCGTCGCAGCGCCAGTGATGTACGCGTGCAAAGCCCGCGGCTGCAACGAGGCTTTTCTCACGCAAGGCGCGCTCGTGTCCCACCAGCTCACGGTCCATCGCAGCGTGTACCCGATCTCGAAACGGTCGCACATGGACTGTCTCGAGACGCAGCAAGAGTGCAAGGCCGCGCCGCCGCCGACTGTCTACATCTTCTTGCAGTACGACCACCCGACACTACCGCCGATCCAGAACGTCAATATCATGGCCGAGCACTGGCGCGTCCAGGCGCGCTGCGGCGGGATCCAAAATCTTCGACCGCATGAGATCCGCCCGCGAAAGCGCAGTCGCCACGTCGGCGTCGCCCGCACCGCCAAGATGGAGCACGCGCTCTACAACGTGTTTCTGGAGGCGTGCAGCCGGTGGCAGTGGGGCGGCAACGACGAGCGCCAAGCACAGTACGAGGAAGCGTACGCCTTTTACGCGCGGTGCGTGCTCACCAAACACCACACACCGACGAACGCTCCGTCGTTCAACCTCGTGGGCCAAGGGCGCAACTGGCTACGACCCGGCAACGACTTATTTTAATGCAATCCACAACAGAGCGATTGAACAATTGACGCGTTTTAGCATTTAGCTGCCCACGAGTCGAGTCGCCCCACTGCAGCTGCGATAACGTCGAAAGCATGAGTTCGTGCTACCGCTGCTCTCCGTCTGCAACTGTGCAACTGGTATGCCAGAGTCAAAAGTCGTGGCTTGATGGTCGCTACTCGGACACTTTAGCGTCGGTGATGGTTTCGACGCGGTATTTCGAAGTACACGTGGCACGACCTGCGGTTTTGGCGCAAAACCGTTCTTGCAAAGTGCCCTTTCACCGACCAATTCGGGCCCGCGGGCTCGGACGCATGGCGCGTCACGCCTCGACCTCGATATAAATAGATTCGGCGCGGCACCTTGGGGCAACACGCCCGCTACTTCTTGGGATGGATCTTCCGGATAAAGAAAGACTATGCGGATATCGAACGGAACGCGTTCTCGATGGCATGCATTCTGAGAGGTTATCGCGTGGCGGCACAATGCGCGATTCCGCGTGGCAAAGCCGGAAGTATAAAAAGAGAGAGGTTTCCACTCAGATCTGGGTGCTGGAACATCATCATCTTGCGGCCCATTTTCCCAAGATCGCGCGATGGTCGAGTGCGAACAAGCGCCTGTCGCCGTGCTAAGCAACATGGACGCGGTCGACGACGGCTACATGAGCCCGGCCGATTCGGCCGCCATGGCTTCGTGGCTCCTCATCGACGACGATGACGCCGACGACGCAGTCTTGCCCCGACGAAAGCACGGCGTTTCGGGCTTGCCGTGGACATGCAGCAACTGCGGTGTCTCGTTCTACTCGCTGCGGTCCGTCATGGCCGACGACTGCTACTGCTCGGGCGAATGCAAGTGGAGTGTGATCCTCTTCCGCGAAATGGACTCGCGGAGTCTCTGCTATGGCTCCAAGGCCAAGGCCGCCACATACGACACGCTGCCCGAGACCGTGCGCTACGTCGCGCCGCTTCCGTTCTAGTCGTCTCTTTGTCGTCTTTTAGCTATATCTGTACCATACCACGACCCTGCACTGTGCTTATATAGAGTGTGCTTGATCCACCAAACCTCGCGACAGCCACTTGCGTCCGTGAACAACAATGCAGCGACGGACAGCTGATGTGCTTGAGTACATTACGCATCCTGCTGCAGCACGGGCAGGGACGCGACGACAAGCTTGAGGAGCTCCCGCGTCGGCTTCTTGCGATAGGCTGTTTGCTTGGAAATCGCGCACCAGAGCTCGCCGTGGCGCGGCTCGGCCTGCACGCAGCGCTCGAGCACGCTGCTTCGTTGGCTCTCGTTGCCGTCCTTGAGCTCAAACGCATAGTATGTGGCCCAACCGTCGCCAAAGTCGGGGTTCAGCTGCACCGTGCGCTCGAGCCACTTGCGCGCCTTGGTGATCTTGCGCTCGTGCCAAAAGAGCTTGGCGACCGAGAGACACACGGACGGGTCGTTGTCCTTCTTCTTGAGCGCCTCGAGGGACACGCGCTTCTTCTGCGTCCGCGGCGCCATGTCGATCGACGCGGCTAGCAAGAGCCCCGAGTCCGGGCAGTCCTAATACCGATTGTAGAGTGCGTCATTCGCGGTAGCCAATCGTACCTGGAGCGCCTTGGCGAGAAGGTTTTCTTGGCCCTTGACGTTGGCGTGCCGGCCCTCGAGGCGAATGGCTTCGAGCCAGAGAAGGTCGTTCTTCGGGTTGCGGAGGCGCGCGACCTCGAGCACCGACCGGGCTTTCGTCGCGCCCTGGAGCTTCTCCTCGAGGCGGCTCGAGAGGCGCCAAAGCGGCACCGACTTGGGGCACGCAGCGATACCGTCGCGGTACGCCTGGCGCGCCGCCTCCCACTGCTCGTGGTCTTCGTAAAATTGACCCGCCATCATGTAGAGCTTGTCAAAGGTCTTGTAGTTGGCCATGCCCGACTTGAGAAGGTCCTCTTCGGCCTCGCCGCGCGCCGTCTCGCGCTCGAGCAGCACCGACTTCATCCAGACGCGGGCCGTGGGCGCGACCGACCGTGCTTTCGCCAAAAGCGCCCGCGCGCGCGCAATTTCGTTGTTTTCCCACTCGAGCTTGACGGCCGCGAGCCAAATCTCTTCGCTGTTGGGGTTGGCGCTGAACGCTTTGCGCAAGATCGAGCGCGCGTCCTCGACGCTGCCTTGGAGCCATGCTTCTTTGGCCGCCATGAGCCACAGCAGCTCGCAGTGCGGACACGCGGCAATCGACGCGACGAGGAGCGCCATCGCATGCGCTTTCGAATCGGGCGTGTTGATTTGCTTCTCGAGCGCGACTGCGCGGAGCCAAATCGACTTTTTCGCGGGAAACGTCTCGAGGGCGTGGGCGTAAATGGCCTTGGCCGTCGCAAACGCGCTGCGGGCGGTGAACGTCTCGGCGTCGTCCATCCACGTGCGCTTCCGGTCCTCGTCTTCGACGCCCAAGTTCTAAACGCCATTCCATATCAGCAATTGGCAATAAGAAAATATACGTACGAGCGTTTGGCGGACGAGCGCGGCGCAGGTCAAGGGCGCGCCCGCGAGCTCGCACGCTTCCGCTTCCTGGAGCCACGTGTTGCGGTCAATGACCACGTCGTTGCGCGAGAGGGACCGCAGCGCGGCTTGGATGATCTTGTCGACGTTGGCGCCCTTCCCGTTGGCCTCTTCGAGCTTGGCGGCTGCGATCCAGATCGTCGGGTCGGTCGGAATCGTCGTGCGCGCGCGGTTGAGCGTTCGCTTGGCGTGGTCGTACGTCTCGAGGCGCGCGAGCGCCAGCCACATGTCAACCGACTCGGGCACACACTCGACCGCGCGGCCGAGCATGAGCCGTGCGCCGTCCGCGTCTTCGAGTTCAATCACCGCTTTCCAGATGGCGACGGCGCCCGGAATGAACTCGAGCGCGCGCCGGAGCACGAGTTTCGTCGCTTCGTCTGAGCCTTCGAGCTTGGCGGCCGCAAGCCACACCTTGGTGCTGGTCGGGACGTGGCGGACGGCGGTCGCGAGAATTTTCTTGGCGTTCTCGGGCGTCTGGAGCCGCGCAGCTTCGAGCCACACGTCTTCGTTGGTCGGACACGCTTCGCACCCCGAGGCGATGATGCTCCGCGCTTGGACGAGCTTTCCCGCGACTTCCTCGAGGCGCGCAGCCGCGATCCAGCCCGGCGCGTGCTTGGGGTTGGTGAGCGTCACGCTGCGCATGAGGAGCCGCGCCTTCTTGATGTCGCCGACTTCGGCGTCGCTCGTGATCTTGAGGCTGTTGAGATCCGTGAGATACCCTTTCGGGTCCACGACCGTCTGGCCCGAGATCGAGTCCGACATCTTGTCAAGCTTGAGCGAGAGCACGGCGCCGCGCGCTTCCGCGAGGCCTGTGAAGGACGACGTCATGCCGCCGACCGTCGATGCGAGGCCGCTCGGCGTGTCCGTGCCGACGACCGTGTTGGTCGTCTGCGCCCGCGCGTCGAGGAGGCTGTCGGGCACCGGCGTGTAGATCTCGGCGCGGCGCTGCTGCTTGTAGCGCAGCGAGTGGTCGCCAATGTCGGGAATCGCCTCCCATTCGGCATCGCTCACCGTCGAAAGCGTCGTCTTGAGGTCGGCAAACTGGTCCGAGATCTTGGGCCGCTCGCGCCGCGCCTTCTTGATGTCTTCGAGCTGCTTCATCTCGCGTCGGCGCTTCCGCTTCGAGTCCATGCGTTCGTCGATCTTTGCATAAATATCATCGGCCTCTGCGTCGTCCTGGTCGTACGGCGTGTCGTTGAAAAGGCCTGCGCCCGTGTAGCCCGAGAACTCGTCGTAGTTGGTCTCGCTGTAGTCGCCGCGGTCGCCGCTCTCGTCCGTCTCGCGGCCAAAGCCGCCGACGCCAGCTGTACCAGAGCCACGTCCGCCACCAGGCATGCCGATGGGCATGCCACCCATCATGAGACCGCCCGGCGGCATCGGCGGCGGCGCCGTACCCCGTCCACGGCCCATCGCGCCGAGCATGTCCACGGGGTCGTCCGGCCGCGCGGGGCCGATGTCGGAGCGCGTCGTGAAGCCGATCGCACCGCGGCCAAGACCGGCGACATAGTTGGCCGGCGCCGCTTGGTCGAACGCCTTTACCCGACGGAACATTGCTGCGCCGTTCAATCAATTGCGCTGGCCGTGGCAAACCCAAATACTGTATTAAAGATTTGACACTAAATAGTGTGAATATTGGCGCCAACGTCGACGTCGCCAGGAAGCTCGCTCAGGAGCGTAAGCATACATCGTGCTCAGCACCAGTGTAGGAGGTACCAGTGCATGGTAGACGTCTCGTAGAGGCCAAGAGCTCTGCCGCGTGGACAGTCGAGTCGTACAATCAGTGTTATCGAGGATCAAAACGTGCAACCCACTCCAGCAGCCCGCTCGCGTAGAGCTACAAGTTGTGCTTTGGATGGTGCCGAAGGTGGTTCTTAGATGCGCACGGTCGTGTCAAACTCCCACGGTCACGGCTTGCTGCTGCACAGCGCGACCAGCTCGCGGCAATCCCCACCGCCTAATGGACCATTGCCACTGCCAACAAATCCACCGTCATTGCCAACGAAGGGCTCCTTTGCCCTTTACTAGTACTACGCCAACGTATATACCTGTGCACAAAGCGCCAACGGTGCTGATCACTGACCCTGACCAAGTGCGATGCAAAACCATACAACACAAGGTAGGTTGACTACACTAGATCGTAGATCGAGGTGGCTCATGTAGTTGGTCCATAGAGCATGCTGAGATCGCGAGCTGCAAATGAAGGTGAGTCGTCCATGAAGATCGATCACGACAGCTGTGCAATACTCACCTGAGTGCGGCGCATGGCAGGCGTGACCGAAGCAAGTGGCGCACAAAGAGACTTGCCCTCGCCAGTCGTGAGAAGACTGCGTGCACGGTCACGACAGCCCAGCCGTACGATGGTATATGGGCCCGAAGGCTCAAGACCACCGCGGGAGGTCCATCGCGCCCGCGCGATCGCAGATAAGACCCGACCGTCATGAGCCAGCCTCTTCGTAAGCGCGGCGTGGGGAAAGCAGAAATGAACGGAAGGCTGCAGTCGGTTGGGGCTGTCGGTTGGGCAAGACGGCCGTTGGGACGGATAATTGTTCTCTAGAAACGCGTAAATCATCCGGAAGTTACATATGTTTGCCATTTTGTCATGGATCCGCAAGGGAAGTGAGGGGTGCCACCGACGAGAACTGTAAATACAAGTAGCGCTATGGACGGTGGTCTTCGGTGGGCACGATTTTGCCGGTGCCCGTGGAAGTACGGCAGCTCACACATACACCGCTTCTTCTTGTGCGCGGAACCACCTTTCTGCCGTTCCCACCTACTGCTGACGCAGGGCGGCGTCCCTTTCCTGCACTACTAGTATGTCAAAGTCGCTACCTGTACATGACCACACACGGGTCCAACAACCGCGAACGATCAACTGTTGCGATGCAAACCCATACAACACAAGATATAAGGAGGATGTTAAATCGTGGATGGAGATGACACTTGCTCGAGTCGGGAGCTGCAAATAGAGGTGAGTCATCCATGCAGGTCATCGATACAGCTGTGCAAGACTCACCTGGGTGCGGCGAACGGGAGGCGTGATCGAAGCAGGAACACTCGGAGCTGGTCCCGGTCCGGTCGTGACTATGCCTGCGAGTGAGGTCATGACTTCCCAGCCGAGTCGATGGTCAACGGTCCCGAAGGACCAGTAGCCATCGAGGCCAGTCGGTCGCGACCGTCACCAGCGCAAACTCTCCGCGACCTTTGTGGACCTCGGACCAGTCTCGTTGGGTCTCTGCTGCGTGGGAAAAGCTGGAATGCTCCTGAACCGTTGGTTGGGCAAGAGCTCCGGTTGGGACGGATAATCGAACTCTACAACTTGATATCTTTCGAACCGAAGCATGTGTTTGTGCAGGTATTGCATTTGCGATGGTTGCGATCCGACACGAGCCGCCGAAGAAGAAGAAGCGGCTCTCGAACGTACGCCGAGCCAAGGCGAGGGCAAAGCTCTTGGAGAAGACGCTCTCACGCACCGAGCTACATGATCATGGCGCAGGCACCTCGTTGCCCACGCCGGGCCAACGCAATACCAACGCAGGGCAGGCCATCGTGACTGGCATACGTCAAGCGCCTGCTGCGCGTCCGTCGCCGGAGCAGCCTGCCCTAGTCGGCAGTAGCGCAGCGAACGACTCTGCAGCTGGCGCGGGTGATGGCGATCGTGCTGCTGATGCTCCTCCACTCGCTCGTCTTTATGAACCACCACCGATTCGCTTTTGCTCCAAGGGCAACCATTCGGCCAATACGTGCGTGGAAGACCTCCACATGGCGATGGCCCAGCGCTACAACATGGCCCTCACGTGCACGCGGGCTGACGTCGATGCGTTCGTTGTCAACAAGCTTGGCCTCAAACTTGGCACGGGCATCACGGGGCCGGAAGAAGACCTGCTCAAGAATTTCCTCTGGAAGCACGGGTATCGCTTCAACCGCACGGTCCTCAAGAAGAAGTTCGAGGTCGAGCAGACGGGGGGCAGTGACAAGGCCAATGACGTGCGCCGGTTCTGCATTGACAAAGGCCTCGGCATGTACCACGTCACGTCGGCTCAGGACCCGGGCTTCATCCAGCACGTCATCGCCGTTCACGTGCAGCGCGACAAGTGCGAGTACTTTGAAGACGGCGCGTGGCACCCGCTCGACAAGCTCACCTACGTTCCGCAAACCTTCATTCGCTAC